CATCAACGACCGGGGGAATATTTTGTAATGGTATTTCCAGATTCTAGATATAATAAACAATTTTTCTACCTGTATTTTAAACTGTCTTTTCATTTTACCTCCGTAATAAATGATAGTGCTTGTTATTTTTTGCAATAAATTTTCACTCATTAATATTATCTCTTATGTATTCTCTTTATAAATAAGGGTGTAATTGAACAGAAAAACATATATATCTTTCTTATACATGTATCGATTTTAAGTAATTTGAATTGCGTAATTTTGGTAGTTGTTCCTTATAAAAAGAAATAAAAAGAGTATAGCAGCTACATAATTAATTTGTGGTTATTAGGTATATTAGTTAAGTTATTTATTTGTAATAAATAAATGTTAGTCTTTTCTAAATTATTCTTATTAATTATGTATATTGGAAGTTTAATTTGGAACTAAACCCTTAACATGTGCAATTACCATATAGATTGCTTAAGAAAATAAATAAATAAATATGATATACAAAATAAATTGAGATCTTATATTTAAAAACAAATTGAATCTTTAACTAATTCTCATAGATATTACTAGTGGTCAATGATATATGACAAAAGATTAATATTGGATCCCTGTACAAGTTAAGTAATCAACAATTTTTGAGCTATCCTATGATAAAAATTAGAACATTATTTAAGAATGTTTCCGCATTTCATTGTCAAATTTCTTAAGGTTAGTAAGAAATTACTCCATTTGTACTCTAAACAAGGGACAATTTCTTTTATCATATTTATAAATCGTATCATTTTATTTTGAGCAAATTATTATTTTCTTAGAAAATAAATATATTGAGTATGATAAAATTAAAAATTCACTAAATTTTAAAACAAATGTAATGTAGTTTTAATGTTGTTCTTATTTCCTGAAAATAATTTATAAATAAGATTAGAGAAATATGTATGAATTAAGTTCTCTTAACCTCCATCCCATGCTATTGATCGATATTGATTGGAATATCATGTACAAAACTTTTACATTAAAAAATTGATATAAAACATACTTTAATTATTTTCCTCCAGAAAATCCAATTTAAACTATAAAAATACCAGCTGAAAGTTACATAACATCGTCAATATTTTAAACGTGACAAATGTGACTTTTTAATATATATATATATATATATATATATATATTAGAGACCATGTAAATAAATAGTACCATTCAACATCTCTCTGTCTCAAATTTCTTAAATCAATTATGAGAAGGAAGAAAAAATTACTTATTAAATTAAATTTTGCTGAGTTTTTTCTGTAATCATTTATTATATGGACAGCATTGCCGTATTCAATTAATGCGCCCTTACCAGATTTATACAAATGCCACATCACTTGAAAGCTGACTAGTGAACAACTGCCATTACTTGTTTTATTTGCATTGCTACATTTATTTATGAATTTTTTTCCCCAGAAATTGAATATTTTGTCACCACGCTTTCAAGCTAGTGGACATAAAAGGGGCATCAAAAAGAACAAGCCAGCTATATTTCAAACCCATAATTAGGTGTATGTCTACCCATATTTAATATTTAGTGTGAAAATTACATCTAATGGCTCCTATTTTAAACATTACTCCATCCTGTCTAACAAAGCTTTTTTAGAGTTCTCTTGGGTTCTAATTATGACTTAAAAGCAACACTAATATCTTATCTAAAATATTTATTAAAATTCTTTTTGTTAAATTAGATGATATTTACTAACAGTCTAAAATTATACGCATTTATTTGTAGTGGAGCTTTCATGTCATTTATAGTGTATTTAATATTTTTTTAATTTTTGTCTTATTTAATTCTCATTAGAGAAAAAAAGAGAGAAAAAGTATGATAATGATTTGTCAACTTAGAAAAAGAAAAGACTATCGTATCAAAAAAAAGAAAATGAAAAATATTGTTAATTTAATATATTATTTGATATGTCAAAATGTATTACAAGTGATTTATATGACGATCAAAGTGATACTTATTAATGAGATTAATTATTAAAAGCTGCCAAATAATTATTAAATGATAATTTTTTAAAAATATATATTTTAAAAGATTAGGGATTCAGTTTTAACTGAATAAAAAACTTAGCAACCAATTGATAGCGAGTCATATTTTTAAAACTTGAAGCACAAAAATCTAATTTTCCCAAACTTTCAAATGCTTTCCAAAGTAAAGTATGTCCTAGTTAAACACACACACCTCTTGATGGCCCAAAAATTAAATAAAAAAAATAAAAACAGCCTCCTTTCTCGAGCACTGAACTAGTGTTCTACCGCCAACACACACTTGGACTTTGTTAGAACTTTGCTTAACAAAATGATTACAGTTAGTCAATTACTATGTACTCATCTTCAGTTTTACTAATTGCACAGCTTCTTCTTCTTTGAAGAATTTATGCTCATATTCAGGCCAAAAAAAAAAAAAAGAGAATTATACCCATATCGGTTTGACTCAGAATTCACAGAATTTAATATAACCAGATCAGCTATTCATCAGGTACAGTTACATTTGAATATTTAATTTTATAATAATTGAAGTTCAAAAACACTAAATTTTTTCCAAAACTACGTTATCATTGATTTTTATGAAAAAGTTTCAAAAACTTGCTATTGAATTTTTCTAAAAATGCGTTACGAATTTAATTAAAATTATAACTCTTTCTAAAATTGATTGTAGTTTTACCGAAAGTTGATAGGATGTGCCTGGAAAAATTAATTTATAATTTTGATCTTCAAAATAATCATAAATTTTGATCTCTCTTTAAAATATTTAAGTTCAATGAAATTTATTATTATTTTCTAATAACAAAGTAATTTAGATTCAAAATCCAAAATTGGATTTTATGAGAAAAGATAATATTAAAATTATAAAAATTTTAAATAAAGGAGTATTTCTAGTCTCTAAAATAATCCTAACTTCGTTAGATCTGTTTATTTAAATATTCTATATCATTCGGATCTGTAGATTTACCCCATCGCACTTAATTGGGAGGGCAATTCATCTGTTAAAAAAAAGAAAAGAAAAAGAAAGAAGTATAATTCGTTAACATAGGTTACAAAGTCATGTTTTTAAATCTCATATTAATATAATGGCTTTATTGGTGGATAATCTATAAATATTTTAATAATTATTCTTTGTAGTTATAAAGAAAATTACAATCGGGAAGCAACCACATTACTATCAATATTTTAATAATAAAAGCATTTAAAATTAACTAACAAGTCATTAATTAAGACAGTAAGCGGTTTCACCTCATAAGAAAGAGAACACAAGTTCAAATTTCAAAAAACACACTTGTTAGGAGAGTTTTAATCTTAATGCTTCACAGAAATTAGTCCTAAGCTCAAAATAGTTTGAGAATACTCTGAGTTATTTAAAAAAAAAAAAGACTTGAGATTAATTAAATTATATATAGGTCCCCAGTCTCCCTCAGAAAAGTCTTCGCATCAATCTCGACCTGTCTTGTTGACCATTAAAAATGCTTCAAGTAAAAGTTGACACTTTCATTTCATAGACTGAATTTATATTTGACAGATCCATTTAATTAATTATGAGAATAAATATTAAAAAACATAAAGGGACATTTTCCTGTTTCTTACGACATTAAAGGATGCTGCAGAGACACAAACTCATTTGTGAAGGGAGGCAATGAGATTATAATTATGATTACAATACTAATAACAAAAGTATATTCCTTTTGTTGGGCTTATCAAATGCATAAAGTACTCATTTCCCTTTTGAGCTCTTTTGTTTCTTTTCATTCCCTGTAGCCCAAAAAAAAAAAACGTAATCTATTTTTTTTTTATTGTCATCACTCTCATCCTAAAGATAAGGCATTTCTATCTAATTTACACATATCAATAAAAATAGTTAAAAATATTAAATTTTTCATAAAATTTAAGCAATTTTATCTTTATTAATTTGTTTCTAACAATATTATTCTTATTAACTACATTAAACTCCAACATCATTTTTTTGTTGTTGCTATCAAGCAACAACATATTAATTTCTGCTATCCTTTACTATCCTCATTAAATATGAGCATGTATAAAAAATACTTAATATTTCTCAAACTAAAAAAATTCTTCTAATAGGCGTTCTATAACAGCGACAGGAGTGGTAGATCCCAAAAAACCAAATTTTTTTCTTTTGACCTGACAAAACACCAAACGTTGGAAGTATCAACCATCAATAATGCCAAATGATCCTCACAAAAAATAAAAATAAAATCAAAACTCTTCAAGTCCCACTATTTGGCAGTTAAAACTCAGTTTTAGAGTTGACTTTTTCTTTCAACTCCTAATTATTCTGTTTTTAAGATTGAAACTTCACAGCTATTTTTATGTGCTTTTAAATCGTATTTATCTTTTTACTGCACTTCACAGGGTTGCTATAGAATTGAATTGATGATTTGACTTTGATCTACTAAGTGAAAAATAACTAAAAAATACTAAAAAATCCAAACACCAATGATCGACTAGAACTCATTTTAGAAACTTATGATAACATACATTGTAACTATGATTTGAGCTTCCGTTTGCATGGAAGAGAATTCAAATACAATTGAAACAGTTGTAAAGTAAATAGAAATGAGTATGAAGAGTTACATCAGAAAACGAAAACTTTTAATCCCTTATCACTCACATTAATCAGATTGATTTCTAATTTTATATCACGCACACCCACACACACTCACGTCTTAGTCTTCAAGAACGCAACCTCTTTTAAATCGAACCCATTACAGCAATCACAACTACGTATCTGCAGAATCTAACCAATTCAATGGCTTTCTACACCAAGGAAGATCACTATATGGTCCTAAAGAAAAAATGGTATTGCTAAAAATGTCCCAACAAGTTAATGACAAAATCTAGCAGAAAAAACAACAAAATCCATACTGCTTGTTTATATATTATTGAGACTTTTGATATTTCTTCTGTGAAACTTACAGTGATTTTCCCTGCCCAATTTCTATTCGCAGAGGAAAGGGAGGGGAAATAAGTGAGGGCTTTTTATTTCTTCTTGATGGATTCCACATCACTTAGTAAAGATGCACGTTTACTGAAGAAGAGGGGCATAGGAAATTAAATTGGTTGTTACTAAGGCTCAGGAGTAACAACAATTGCCAACATATCAACTTATAATTACCTATAAATTCAATACTCATCACCACGACTCCATGCTCAGTACAAATAAACCTCCATCAATCACTTAACCTGTCATTATTCGGAAACTTCCATAAATCACAGAACCTGTCAGCATCTGGGGACAAGAATCTTTTCAGGTGGTTTTCTTCCAGTTCTGTCCAGGTGCATGTGAAAATGCAGAAGATGGTGAATATATAGTACAAAAAGGCCGACAAAAAATGAAGGAGAGAAGGTGTTTTAGTACACATCGAAAAGACTGGAGGGAGAACTCAGGAGAGAAACTCTGCCCAGCTGAGAAAACTAATAAAAATCAGAACATACACAGAACTAATCCCACTGCGATTTCTCTGTACAGGCCAAACATATTCTCATGTTAGCAGTTAAACTGTATATTTTGAAAACGAAGAATATGACATGGTGAATATCAACCCAGCGCAAACGGCAGAATCATCATGACTTAGGCAAACACATCAACCTGAAAATGCAAGAACATCAACCAGAATAAAACAAACACACACAGTGATCTTACGGTGTACATCTGAGCATGAAGAAATCAACCGCCAAATCTGACCACAACACGATCCGAGCAGTAACAAGGGATGGAAGCAGATCGTTAGTCAGAACATGACAACCATCTGATTTAGTGCAGAGGTCATGAGAATTTTTTAAATGTTGTTTCCTGCTTTTTTTCATGACTATCTGCAAATGCGGTGCAGACCTCACAATTGTAATCCAAAATTTGGTTCAATGACTCAGCATTCTGGAAGGGACTGGGCAGAAGCAAATGGAGAAAAACTCGCAGCTGACCCGCTATAACGAAGTGGGTGATGACGATGACTAGAAGAACCAAGATAACTTGCTGAAACATTGCTTGGACTTCGAATATGTGGAGACAAGTACCTTGAGTTCATTGATGACATCGATGGGTAACCCATGGAATGTGGAGAATTCAAATGAGATGCTTGAGATCTTTGGGATGCATTCCTAAGATCTACTGAGCTTCGACTGACACTCATAAAGGGAGATTGCTGATGGGACCTAAATGATGGCTGAATGTAGGGAGTACTAGCCACAGAATGGTCCCGAGAAACAGATGGGGACCGTGATGATGACCGACCAATTTGTATTGCAGAAGATGATGCTAATGATGATCTCACAGATGACGCTAACGATGATGCTCCAGATGCTGGGCCAGATGAAAGCAACGGCGTGGATTCTGAAGGTGGAGGATCACTTAGACCAGTCCTTGCATCACGCTTACAAACTGGACAAAAGGTTCTCCATGACGTAAGCCAAGAATCCACACAAGCAGCATGAAACTCTGCCAATAAGTAATCAGAAATATAATATTTGGTTAGACTACGTAACAAAAATCATATTTTCATATGCATTTGTATCAGACTACATCAAACAGGAAACAATATATAGAATAACCATAGATTGTTAGAGACCATTAAACTAGGGGAGAAAAACTTGGGTTATTGTTACAACTTATCAAGTCATGCATAAACACAATAAGTCCGCAATATGTCTTGGATTTAAGCATGCAATGACCAAATTAGAAGAGTATGGATCATCAAATAACAAGAATGAACATAAAGAAGCCCAGATTGAGAATATTTGTTCCTAAAGAAAGATTTGATTTAAACTTAATTGCCTTGTAGCAGATGTCAAGGCCAACTAAGATATTTTTCATGAATTGTTGCCTCGTTCCATGGTGAGGTATTTTCAACTAGTTGGACAGGCATCCAGACACAGGAGTATTTGTTCTTCTGCTTAAATTTATTTTGAACCGAAGGGAGAAAGCAAATTTGTATTTGCATCTGCAGCACTCAGAAGTATATAATTTTTCCTGTTAGAATTTAAAGCAAAGAAAGTTTACAAGCCTTCTCTGCATGCTCCAACATTTTTAAACTGATTAGATTTGTATGAAGAGCCTCACTTTGACATTATCAGAAATCCTCATCAGGTTCATCTAAACGTGCAATGGGATTTTTTGAACTTTATCATGCAGATTTTTTCTTCATGTTATTAATTTCTTCTGTTTGGAGTAAGATTAACTAAGTAGAACTCTTCTAACATTGAGATTTCGGGGGGTAAAGGAGAGATATTCATGCCAAAATAAGCAATGTAGTTAGAGTAGGTTTGGATAATGATGTTCACACGTTCCAATATTTCTTTTCATTGTATGCAAAAGAGGAGGAGGAGAAAAAATGTTCCAAACCCTTTCTAAATGTTTCCCAAAAGAGAAAACAAAAGGCCCTTTTCTAAATTAATACCAACTATATTTTCTGCATGCTTGAATTGAATCACAACTTTAATTATACAAGTATATGGACGAAGAAAGCCAAAAGCATAAGCTTCAGAATATCATCACCAAATTTTTTTTTTTTTCCTAAAAACAATCTCATACTGTTTTCAAATACTAAGGCAGTTGGTTTTATATGTGAATTATAAAACAAAAGAGGCACCGCATCGGACATCATCCTAACAAGACAGGCCCAAGCAAGCGTTACAAATAATGCAAACAGTAGGTGAGTGATAAGAAACTTTGGGAGAACCAAAACCCAAAAGTTAGCTCATGTTGGTGGAAAATCTAAGGTCCTCATAGATACCACAATAGAACCTCATAACTTAAGACTTGTACTTTGCAACCCCAGCACACCTGCAGGCCGACTTCAGCTAACTTTCTAGGTCTGGGATAAGAATGGCATCACCCCCTGCATTGTAGGATTCAAACTAGGATGGAAAGGAAGGCTCTAATATCAGCTTATAAGAACCTCCCTGAGAAACAAATACACACCCCAAAAGCTAACTCATGAGGTTGGATAGCCCAAAGTCCTTATGTATTCCACAATTTCTCATTACTCAGTCTGATTATTACAATTGTATCCCAACTTACCTGTTCAAGAATACCAACTCCAATATATTTATTACATTTTATATTTTTTTATTTTATATTTTTTGTTTTGTGTTTGTCCCGCCCAGAAAAAGGAAATCAAGTGATTCCTTGTTTGTTTTCCTTTCGTTTTCTTCATTTTAACTTTGAAAGTATTGACAGATATTATCGAGGATGAGATGCTTTGAATCAATCCATGAAATTTATTTTTCAAATTATCCACAATTTAAACAATCAAAATATTAAGAGGAACAAAGGAATGACAAAAGACGAAACATGAACATAATACCCCACTTGTTATGCTTAAGAGGAATGAAAGTTGGAAGAACAATTCATGGCATGCTGCCAACTTATGACGGATCCATGCAATATATGCTTAGTCTTCAAAATCTAATGAGAAATGGCTGGAAGATGTCTTCCAAGAATTCAAGTTCCTAAAAGTTACACTTGGAGCTGAAGACAATCCAGGAAAAATACCAAGGAAAGGGAGATGTAAAGCTATTCACAACATGCTACCAACTTATGACCATCCTATGCACTATATGCTTAATCTTCTATGAACCCTAGGAGAAATGGCCATGAAATAGCCGTAACCGTTCAAGACCATCCTTATATGGCAGGTAATGATACGACATAGGTTTACACTGCGTAGGATATGCAGCAAGGGGCATAAGATTTAGTACTCAACCAACAAAATATATGCAAATTCTACCAAAACACAACACTCCAACCACAAAAATATTTCCATAAGTCATACCACACCAACTAACAGAAACAAATTGGCAAAAATAAATAAACAAATAAATAAATAAAAAAGAAGAAGAAGAGGAAGAAGAAAAGAGAAAGAAATCAAATAGAAAGACTTACTGTGACAGCAGGGTAGAATCCTGAGCTTCTCTCCAACACAATAGTCTTCAAGGCATATTGCACATGTCATTGATGTACAATTATCCTCTAAAACAGCAGTAAATATCAAACTAGGCATTGCTTTCACTAGGCGACTACTCATTCCATGGAACTCACGAACACGAGAAGCTTGAGGCCTTTCTCTTCGTATGCGATGCCTCCGGACAAAGAAGCAAGTAGCCAGAACTGCTGACATAGCTAGTAGGGAAATGAATGAAATTGCCATGATAGACCATGCTGAGTTTTCAAAACTTGGAATTAGCCACACTTCAATGTTAGTCAGTCCAGCATATCTTTTCAGTATTTCACCTGAGGCTTTAGTTACGAATACCGCATGTATTTTTATACCCCCCGAATTTCCTGCCACTAAATTTCAAAGAAAATTAAAATTGAAAATTATGTTGCATGTGAAACCAATGCGCACACAAACATCTATATATATAGAGAGAGAGAGAGAAACGCACAAATATCTAGCTATAGATGTAATAAGATACTTTTCAACCATCATATGGATCTCAAATAGCATTTCCTTGAGAAATAGATGCCAAACAGAAATATTGACAGTCACATGTTCTGCCAGCTATGTATTTAGGGACACATCAGATGCAGAAATATAGAACTTTCAAGAAGGGAAAAAAGAAGCTACGTGGAAATGTTTTCCTAAGATATGACAATTTCCAAAGAAATTTAGAACAATGTGCAATATAGTGCTTTTGAACCATTCAATTCTCAAATGTGAAATATTGAAATTAACAAAACAGTTTCATAGTTCATGGAAATGGCTAAAATTTAGTGCTGCTTAGATCAGCCAGGAATATGGTATTGAAAATAACATGCATGTAGTATAAAGATTTTTAAATGCTATGTGAAGTGACATCATATTAAAAACTTTCTTTTGTGGCAATTCCTATAAGCAACATTAAAAACTCATTTTCAGAGTTACAATGTATGCAAATGTTGGTTAGATTCTCTGATTTGTAAAATGCCATTTTACCACACAGAACAGTGTATAACAAAATTCCCAACTTTAGGAAGAACATGAAACCACACAATGCCAAGATGAGGGAATTGGTCATTACTTGAAACTAAGACACCATCATCTTCATTGTCATAGACAATTGCGGCTTTAAAGCCAGCCTTTTGTGCTCTCCTGACTTTGTCTTCAAAGCTGCACCCCCCTCTAATTATTAAAACAAAAGGTGAACTTGTATTTGAAAGCGGTTCAACTTTATTTGTCAGTTCTGTACATGCGTCAACCGGCTCTGCAATATACAAGACCCCGCATTCTCCAGAACCTTTCATCGCTGGAGCTGAAATCAAAATGCCATTCATGTCAAGAGATGGATGGATGGATGGATGGATGATGTGTATAAAGAGAGAGAGGAGGAAAGGGTGGGTGGATTTAAAGACACCACATACATAACATCGCATTGACTTTCTTCTCCATTTCTTCCCATAAACACAAATACAGGCAAACAAGAAGATAGCGCTGGCTTTGTAACAACAGGCATATGATTTAAATAAGTTTCATCACAAAAGGTAGTCTCATACACTAACAACCACAAAAGTATGCTTATACCCCCCCTTCTTACTTTTTCTGCTCGTTCCGCAAATCAACTTACTCCTTTTTATCTTTTCAGATGAAATCCTAAATTTAATACAAAAAATTTCGGATGAAAATGTTTTCCAACTATAAAGCTGCAGAAAAGTCCTACTTATGCTCAAATTTCAAAATCTCAACATGCCAGGAACTAAGCTACAATCAGCTTCACCAACATCGAGTTTATTACAAAGCATCCATGCTCCTAGCTCATCTGAATTCCCAGTCCCAAAGAGAATGCCTAGTTGAAAAGGAAACAGGGGGAAAAAACCCCAACAGGCTTACCAAAATTAGCTTCAATGTCGTCGAAGGATAGAGTAACGTTGTTCCCAATCAGCACCACCTTGGCCACCGCCATATAGCATGAAGCCGTTACAGAGAATAACAAAAACACAAGAAGATTCATCGTTCTCATCAAAGCAACCGTTTTGACTATCAAAAAGGCAAAAATTGATCGGTAAAACTCATCCAAAACAGAGGCGGAGGAAGATGGGATTATCGCTATTTAGGGTTTAGCAAAGAAAATACTACAGAATGGATACATCAGCTTCCATCTCTCAGAAGAATCAAACGGATCTTCTATTCTTAGATGCCCCTGCCACTACCTGTATCAAATTGATTGCTCTCTTGACATAAAAAAGGAAGATTTTAGAGAAAAACGAATCAGATTTTTGCTGATAAAGATGATTGTCACTCGAATGGTAATTACGAAAACATAATATTGATCAGAAAACCAAAAATATCATTATAATAATGGGCAATTATTGTTTCGAGCTCAAGGCAAAAAAAAAAAAAAAAAAAAGAGGCAAAACCCGTTATTTAAATAAAATTTTAAATAAAAAAATGGCCAAACGTTGCGGATAATCGGAACTTGGAAAAACGTATATGACGCCGCCAAAGGGACCAGATTAGTCCGAAAGGGTCGCTCGCGTATGTACGACCTGAAAGGGAAAGTAATCAAATTAATCCAAAACTGATTAATCAATGAATTAATTAACCAATAATTAATAATTATGGGGGAAAGCGAGATCAAATTGATTCATCGATGAAAGCTGGACCACTTGGATTGTTTGGTAAGGGAGCTTAATTTCGTGAATAAGCCAACGCGCTCGAAGGATGAAGCTGTGATTATGACTTGCTCTGTTCTTATCTGGAACAATGCTTAAAAAATTTTTGGGAGACAAGTTGAGAGTTATAAATTGGACAAATAAAACAACCCTTAAATGAAATCATTATTTTATTAAAATCATTAACATAAATTATTTGTCATAATTTATTAGTACTGTATTAAAATCACTATTTTATTGTATCAGTAGGTGTAACATAAAGTTTGTATAAAAAATATAAAATCTAGAAATTTAGTAACAATTTTAAGGCAAAAGTATATTCAACATCTTAATATTATTTGTTATATGCATCAAGTCATTTTACCTATTATGCATTCAGTATCTTGATTTTATTTTTTTAGTGTATCCGATACTTCGATCTTTTTTTTTAGTTATATTAAATACTCAAAATTTTATCTCTATATATTGTTTGTATAATGTAATTAAAAAAAATATCCTGTTTATTGTAAATAATATATTTTTTGATCTCTTCTGCACAGATTTTAAAAATAACCTTAAACAGTTTTTCAAAATAGGCCATTAGGTTTCTGTCACTTCTCTTCATCAGCAACTGAAATTATTTTTTCAAGTGAATGACATCACGGTTATCTCTTATCAACAAAAAACCTGTTAAAACATTTTTTTCCTTAATTTTTAAAAAATATTACTCTATGCAACTTTAAGTAAAATATTCTCTTGTTTGAACCTGTACGAGGACTTGACCAAAAAAAAAAAAACCTGTACGAGGACAAAACAATTTGAGGACATGGTTTTTGCACACTTTTTTCTAAAGGTCAACAAAATAGGCCTCTAATGTCCCCACCCCCCCTCCTTTCTTTTTTCGCAATTCAAGCTTACTCACAAGTCAACTCAATTTGGCCAAAGTGAAAATGTCATTAAAACAAAACAACGAAAAACAAAATACAAGGCAAGAGAAAACCGATAAGGCTATAACCCCTCATCATCTATATAAAATTATTTTTGTATCTGTTCTTGGTCAAAAATTATTTTTGTATCTTTATAAGTTTGTTTTTGTATATTAATCAATAAATTGACTTATTAAAAAATAAAAAAAATTAAGTATTTAAACATTTCAAAATTATATTATGAATGCCCAAAACATATGAATAAAATAACCTCAACAATTTACATTACAGCATATACTCATAGGACATTTTTTCCGTCATACCTTACAAACCTAAAAGAGGCATATTCTATTATCAATTTGATTTTGATCCCTCAAATTTCAAACTGTAGGTTTTGATCCCTTAAAAGTCAAAATGATTTAAATAAAGGATTATAGGCACCGTTGTTATAAATAAAAAGAAATTTGAGGAACTAAAACTTATAATTTCAAACTTGAAAGACTAAAATCAAAATAAAGATAAACTTAAGAGGCTAAAGTTTGTACTTTTCCGATCCTTAATATAAGACCCATTTAACTAATTTGATTAGATTAAGAAAGTTAGATAAATTAGTTAATTATAAAAAATGTGACATATTTTTCTGAAAATACTATAATTATCTTTTTTAATACCCCCTCTTCCTCTTTTACTTGATTATGGTTGAGAGAGCATCCATAGGGGTAATTTAGAGGAAATTGATAAATATGAGAAATGGATCTTATATTTAGGACCAAAACCAACTCAACAATTGGGTTCTAAGGACTGGAGGAGTATTAAATATTAATCAATATTGGACGAGTACAAAGTGATATGAATGAGTGTCTATTTACAAGTATGGTCCATGCACCGTATTTACAAGTACATCTGCTTCATTCAACTATACATTATAGATGCTAAACTAGAATGATACATTTCGGAAAATTGTAAAACTAAATAGAAAAACCATTGCAATAAATAATAATCAGCATTGATAGTTATAATCTCCAGAACATCTTAGCATAACTAAACCCATATTGATTGCAATAAATACCTAAATGCATCAATAAAATGCGGAATTTTTCTGGACTACACAAAAATTGTGAAACTCTGCAGCCAATGATATCTACCTGATGCCAATAACTATTTCAATTCTAAAGCAGATCCATATGCAATAATAATGTCAATGAAATGTTTAATCTTCTTTATCTTCAGGTTTATACTCTTTGCTTTCAGCCTCCAAGGCAGAGCAGCTAGCATGATCAACCTGTTCTTCACCGAGTACCCTCTGGTACTCATCATCTTCTCCTTTATAAAAGATCAGCAGAAGCATCAGTATTGCAATCACGGCAATAAAGACATACAAGATTCTGATGGCTGAAGATTTTTTCATCGCACGCAAGAGCGATGGGCCACCGAGTCTTCTCTGTGTGGTTCTGCCTTCCCTGTATCCTCCAAGAAATTTACTGATTTGAGTTGCCTGATCCACCTCATCAATGCTTTCTGAACCAATAACCTGTAGGTCATAAAAACTGTATTAGTCTCCATCTTGAGGAAATTTTAATGGCAAAAGAAAAAAAATCAGCCAGCAGATTTAAAACACAGATACAATTCATGTGCTTGTGTACCGTGAGAAGGAAGTTAGATAGTGGAAAAAACACAAGGGAAATCAAAGGACCAAATGTATTAATTAAGGGCCAGAACGTATCTGAAAATTCCACTTAGGAAAAGGACAAATTGACAGCATGTATACAAGGGGCGAATCATTATCATACTGCACAGTCGTATGTATACAAGGGGCAAATCATTATCATACTGCACAGTGCACATTAGAAAGCAGTTTAATTACATGTCTCTAGTTTTCTGTATCCCCATTTGTTGATCTAGAAACTAGAAAATCGTCTCGTTCAAGTTTTAGTCAGAAAACAGTGTAGCGCCTATTTAGTTTAATTACATATCTTGAGGACCAACCATCACCAAACCATCATGAGACTGACGATGAAAAAACACTAAACTTGGTAGCCATAAACATTATGGAGGCATTTAGTACACCAACATTATGTAAGATCCCAGATCATCGATCCCTGTATTTGGGATCCAATGGTCAAAGGACCATTATTAGCATGCTCGCATACCAAATACCCAATATATGCAATATATCGATGTTGATAAGGCATGCAAGGGATAAGGAGTCTCAGAGCAAGACAAGAGGGTAAACTTGAGATTACACCTCTAAGTAAAACAAATGGAGACCGATTATCATATAGTGAGATAAAATTGGAGCGAACTTGACGAAACAGAAATTCTTTCAAGGTATGAAACATTAACTTACAGATAGATAGTCATCACTTCCATCCCAAACAACCATCTTTGGTAACTTATTGAGGTTGAATTTTTCAGCAAAATCTTCCAACCGTTTAACACCAACATAACCAAATATTAAGTCACGATTTGTAGATGCAGCAGCCTTTAAAAGCTTAATGAATTTCTTTGATCTTTCTTCATCCTCGTCGCCGAAAATTGTCAAGACAATTCTCCTCCCATCACTTTCCATCAACTTTAGTGTGTCAAAGGATACAGGTGCCACTAAGGGAATCAGGTTTTGTTTCACAAAATCTTCCAATGACTTCTCTGATTTTTGAGACATGAACATTAGCAAGAAAATTTAAAATGATGCATTGAAGTTGAGGCGTTTAAAATATTAAAATTGAAGGACAGCACAAATATGCCACAACATGCATTGTGGTATGTATTAGTACGTTTTGATAAGCTCACAACACCATGTTGGTTTCTACTGAAGCAACAGAACATTTCAAATATATACAGTATATTGGGATATTGGCTTCATCACTCTTATATTGTTCGGAAGTAGAGATGTACCATCGCCCACATAGAAGTGGGAAAAATTGAAGGACTTAACATTCTGCTGCTCTTTTACTCTTATCTTTTGAAGGATTTTCTTTATCTTTATATTCAACCTATAAGTGGAACCTAATGACATCTGTTCTAGAAAAGCAAATATAAGGAACAAATTATTCAAAATATCATAAACAGAGAAACAGATTCCAGCAAAAACTCCAGGAACTGTAAAACTCGATGCAGTGGCATGAAGAAATGCACAAGAGAGGAGAGAGATTCAGGGAAGTGATATTTAATATCTAAATAAAACAATTTAAGATCTGAGTATAAACTAACCTTCAAAGGGCCCATATAAAGTGCTCCACTCATTGTAATCCCGATTAATGGAAACCAGAGCAGGAACCTTGTCAAAATGATGCGATCCCATGACATCCTCTGAAAAATCCTTTGCCACGGAGAACCATGCATTTTTCTTATACTTAAAGGCTGACTTTTCTATCATAGAACTACTCAACCCAAAACCTATAAATATGGGGAATAAAGTGCCGGCTGCTTCAATGAAGTTATTAATAGCAGAATCTGAATCAAGAATGGTAACATCTGGAGCAGCAAATTTCTTTAGATAATGAACTAGTAGATCTGCTTTCCTTGGTCCACGATAGTCTGTGGGTACACCATGTATAAACAGCATAAGGGAAGGATAAGCACTACATCACAGAATAGAAGTTTAGTATAAGTTCATTTCCAGTAAGAAATAATTAATATTCTAAGCTAATTCCCTTTAAAAATAAATTTTAATTTCAAAAAATGATAAAATAAATGGGGGACAGAACAAAGAGAAACACGATGGACATTTCACATTTCAAAGGAAACTGGAGTGGGAAAACAACATTAGTATCACCTGGAAATAAATATCGATTCAACAAGCAATTTACACGGAAAAAGAAACATACTTAACGTCATATTTTTTCGCAAGACGGGTAAACTTGTCTGCATCCACTTTTGCTATGACTATGGGTTCCTTTAAGGCTGCAAGTACAGGTGCAGCTGCATCTAACTGCAAGGTGACAAATTAGATATTTCATCCTACTCACTTAGAGTGAAACATAAATCACAATCAAGCAAGTTTGAATAAGAAAAGTCAAACAGTGATTTGCTGTGTTAGATCACATATCTAATACCGTTTGCAGAAAACTCATGATCTATGAAATGATCTTAAGCTTATCAAGTCATTGACAAAATTTAACAACTTGGCACCTTGTGTCTAGCATCAATAACACAAATTATTGATGGATGTTTAATTTCCTCTGTTGTCGTCTTGTCAGGCAATACAAAGAAGAAAAACTATGCATCATCATGGCTTAAACCAATCATCTGGTTTTAGTACTGTCTACGCATGACTGCATGACTAAATATTTCGAAGCACGGATACTGTATCTCTTAACGAGCATTACCAAATGTATAGATTAAAATTAGGAAGGCATTTCTCAGGTCATCAAATTGAAGCAACTATCCATCAAGATGCGAATGAACCGATAAATCCCGCATTTTAATTTTTTTTTTTGAAAAAACACTTCCTAATGAGTTTCAAGGTGAATCAAAACTTTATAAGCGTTCTCAAACCCAAAGGGTGAAACGTGAATGGTTAAATACTGTCAAACGCCGTCAAATTATCCGCAGCAATTATTCAGAGTGCATATTAGAAAGTAGAAAGGAAGGAAAGAAAGGGTACCGGGAGAGAGACGCTGGCAGTGACCACACCATGGAGCATAGAAGTCAACCAAAATACGATCGAACGTCGATATGGCGGAATCGAAGTTGGATTCATCCAACTGCAACACCGTCCCGTCCACCGAGAAAGCTGGAACTGAAGAAAACGATAAGGAATTGAAGAGCGAAAAGGAAATCAAAAGAAACCGCAAACGCCAGTGAATGCTTCATCATTGATCCAAATGGGAATCACAAATCACAATGTTTCTGTACGTTCTTTATCTCTTCACTTGTTTAGACTTCGCTTTCGCTATCCAATGCAGGAACCTTCCTTCCCTGCTACAAGTTTGGTCGTTTTGCATGGACGTGTTTCACTTTCTGTTTCATTTAAGATATTGTTGATACTTGATTTTGATTATCGGTAGAGGATGATCTCAATTTGACAATTTAATTTGGATTGATTATGTAAATTTGCCAATTTAAAGTTTTTTGATGGGAATACGTGTCTTTTAAAATTTGAATTAAATTAAAATATCCATGCACACTTGTAGTTTTCATAATAAATTTTCTAATGGATTTTGAAATCTAAATAGCATTTATCTATTCTTAATATAAGATCTATTTAACTGATTTGATTAGATTAAGAAAGTCAGAAAAGTTAGCTAATTATAAAAAATATAATATTTTTTTCCTAAAATACTATAATAATCTTTTTTAATATCCTCCCTCATTTTCTATTTAATTATGGTTGAGGATATGTATAATTTAAGAAAAATTAATAAATAAAAAAAATATGTCTTTATATTAAGAACCAAATAAATAATTCTTATTTAGATATAGAAAAGAGTCATATTTACTAGCGAAATTAAAGGGGAGTTTGAATCACCGTAAAAAGCACTTTAGAAAGGTTTTATGTAAATTGAAAAAAAATTTTCTCATATGCTTACTTTGTACATTGTTAAAATCTAGAGTTGTACTCCTTAATTCACTCAAATTTAATTCTTGCCCAACTCATCAGTCTAAACAACAAATATAACCTCCATGCATATCTAAACCTATGTAAAGAATTTAGATTCAATTTTTAGGTAAGATTAAATGGTTAATCACCACATGCATGCAGAAATTTGGTGTTTAAATTAAGTGAAAAAGCATAGTACTGCGACACAAAGAATCCAAACAAGTGGACATGGCTTGAGATTAGAGCTGGTAATACGGGCTGGGCCCGCGGGCCCAGCCCGCCAACCCGCCAAAAATGGCGGGCTCGGGTTGGCAAAATGCCAGCCCGCCAAGGTGCGGGCTACTCCAGCCCGCACCGTTTTCAGCCCGCTCCGCCGCGGGCTAGCCCGCTTTTTTTTTTTTTTTTTTTAAATTTTAATTTTATATAATTTCTAATATGTTATACAATAT